GTGTGTACATTTGGCATGTTATCGTACGTCTCAATCTAGGCCGAATCTTCTGTATAGTACCGTGAAAATTGATTTTGAAACGACCTATTTTATGATTATCTTAATTTATCGAAAGAATCATGAACACATGCGATGTATCTGATCCGATGTATCGTGGTCGCGCGCTTCGTCAGCGGGCGAATCGTGCGAATGAACGTGTAGCTTATGTGCGTGGAGATGTGATTCGTAGCTGAAGCCTTCGTTACAAGTATCGCATTTGTGAGGGTACGATTTCCATAGTTCGTCCGGATAATGCTCCAACTTGTTGTGATGATGAAACTTGTACATTCCTTGAAACGACTTACCACATACTGCGCATAAAAAATCTTTGCCCTTGTAATAATACGTGTTATGCTCGACAAAATGTTCGTAGGATTCGAATAACAAATGGCATATATTACAGATTTGTTTATCTTTCAAAACGCAATCGGAATTCAACGCCAGTCTAGGATTCTCTCCAATATGGAAGTGTCGTTCGTGAATTTGAACTCTCGATTTCTTAACAAATCCTTGATTACAGAACTTACAAAAGAATTTGTAGTTCATCGAGCACGAAGGCGTATGGGTAGCGAGCATGTGAAGCTGTAATAATCTTTTAGTGGAAAACATCGTGTTGCAAACGTTACACTTTTTGGTGGCTGTTTGGCAATAGGTGCGCTCGTGTATGCACAAATTTTGAAATGTTCGGAATTGTGTCCCACAAGTAGTGCAAGGAAACTTTGTTCCGTTCATCTTGTCCGCTTGGTAACCCTTCACGCATGCTATCCCATTAAGTAGCCTTTTGTTCTTTGCAGCTGTATCGAATGACGAAGAGAAAGTATCATCCGTAATAAGCGTACTCGGAGCCAAATAATTTTCCAAAGGTCTTGTCATCCCATCCGGAACATCCAACGTTTGTTCCAAATCAGGCGACTGTACTATGCCGAGTTTCATGTCACTTGGTTCTTTCAACGACCGAGACAGATGGTTTACACGAGGTACACGTTGTTTATGTATCGAGACTTTCATTCGACGACATACATTCTCATGCTGTTTCAAACACGAGTATAGCCAAAATCGTTTGCGACAACCTTGGCATTTGTGTTGTTTCTTGAATGCCTTGCAATTTATTTCAACATCAACCGGTAGAACGTCCTTCTTTGATCTTATGGTCTTCAAACAATGCAATATCATGTGCCGCTTCAACAATGCCGACGTGTCAAACTTCTCATAACACACGCAACATTCCCTTCGTTTAAACACAATATGCTGACGTAGATAGTGAGTTAGTAACTTATTCATGGACGTGTAACGTGCGTTGCATATGCTCGACATGTAAATCGCATGGGACAATTTCACGTGCTCGCGCAAGTTCTCTTTCAAAGAAAACGATTTTTTACAAATATGACATTGAAATATTTTCTGCTGATCGACCTTAGAGTTCTTCTTAAACTCAGCCGATTCTTGTCGAGGTACGATTAGTCTATGAACGAAAGATTTTACAAATTCATTGAATCGCTTTGACGCAATCGTGCCTGTTTCCAAAGGCAAATTACCTGCCGAGCTTGTCTCACGAAAACCTTCAAATTTCTCTTTCACATTTTTCGATACTGCTTGTTTGAAACCGTCTTCGTTTTCGTTTTCCTTCTCCTTTTCATCTTTGTCTCCGTTCGACACAAAACTAGTAGGCTCCAAGAATTTGTCGCATTTCTCCAAACGGACCACACATTCTTTACACTTAGCTTCAGGTGCAGATCTTTCACTTTGGTTAAACGGATAGCGGGACTTGTTTCTTTTAAAAGATTGTCTTGATCTTCCAAAGGCCTCAAACTCCAATAAGTCGTAAAAATTATATAAAGAAGAAGAACATCTTTTTAGTGGCCTAAGGTTGTAAGATATATTGTGCGAGGTATTAGAGCCTTCAGATTCAGCTCCTATTTCGTTCTTTAATAAAGATATCATTGTTTTGGAATTCACATGAATTTGAACAAATGGTCTTTTCCTAACAGGAGATTCGATTCGCTTAACAGAAGTAGACATCTGGATAACTTCCGAAGCCGTTGATGTCTTGTTGCTAAATGTCTCGAGCGTTGAAGTTGGAATAATAGTCGCAGTAACAGGAATATTCTCCGTATCGATAACTTCTTTCGGGCTAACCCATTTTTCATTCGGTTTATCTTTGTACAGCGATATAAAGTCTGTAAGGACGGTCTGTTTCATCCTTTTCGAAGGTGTACCATACGAATCGTTTAACCATTTCGGATGCGTAGACTTGATCTTGCTGTCCGAACCCTTGGTGGGTGTATCGTTTGAACTATTAGATAGTTTCAAAGATATATTTATCGAGCTATTTACGCTTTTTGGGGAGGAATTGTGTGAAGTATTTGATTCTGCCATGACTATATCATCCGAATGATTCGACTTTCCTAACGATTCAGGAGATGTTTTCGTAATTTTGCTTTCACCAGACAATATTGCGTTCCCATGCATATGGAATAAATGAGATTGGATATATCTTTTATAGGAAAAACTTCGGTTACAAAAATTACATCTATATCCAGGCCATTGTTTCGTACGACATCGCGTCTTTAAATGACGTATCAACGCAATATGTATACTGAAGATCGCAGTGCAATTATTACACTTGAATACATTACAGCTATATAATTTATTATGCAGTTCCAATAAATGTTTAGTTCGAAAAGTTAACAAACAAACATTGCAACTTATTCTGTTGTTCGAAGGTACTTTATGTTTACTTTTTCGTTTATCAGGATCCGATTTGTTATTTTCTAAGTATGTACTCTCTCGAGGAAACGCGGATTCTCGATTTCTACAATAAACACTATCCGAAGATTCACCTTCACACATCGCTGTCTCATTTTCATTCTCTGTATTAGTATCAACTGGCGATAAATCATCGCAGATCTCTGGATCGATTGGCTCTTCCTTTATTCTTATTGCATATTCAGAAGGCTGAAAAAAATATACAAACCTAATGTAACATCCTAAAAAACGGAAATTCTATGAAACAGTTCTAGTCTAGTAATTGAAGTCAATCGTGCCATAAATATCATGGGTAGGATAAAAAGCTACGTATAGAGCCACTGCACTAGGTACTAGAAAGAACAGTTTATGACGCCATGTTTATGAGTCAGCCAGGTTCTACCATTAAAAACATGAAATACATAACTGCACAAATCTAGAATACTACATACATAACAAGAGAGGTGTAAATTTTGTATAGATTTACGGTTCCATTAGAATTACTAAGAAACTTTTCCTCAACTCCTAACATTTACCATGGGACAGGGCCGATCGATATTTTCAAACCAGTGTGTAGCGAAGTCGACTATATTCAACTATCAACTATATTCAAATGTAAGAAAAATCAGATTTGCAAACAATACTTTTAGCATGGTTGTTTAACGTTATTTCATGAGTATATTCTTCCCGGTAGCGAATTAGTAAAAAGCAACGAGCGGTCCTTCTACGTGTTTAGCAAATTGTATATTATAAGTGAGGAATAAAATGTGTACGACGGAGTAACAAACACCATGCAGAGCTCTAAAAATTCCATATCATTTGAAAATATAAAGAAACAACTGAACAGAAAAGATGTTTACAAAAATCACCATGAATTGTTTAAAATAGAAATATTTGTATCCAATTCGGTGGAAAATGTCTAAATAAATATGGTTTTTGTTCTTTTATGATGTATGTTGGCTTGCACCGATGCAGAAAATAATATATTTTCTTAATTGATAAGCAAAGCCATTGGCTATATATTGAGTATATATTGATATATTGATGTCATTTCATGAGACTTTGGTCGATGCGAAGCATCATTACAATACGTTTCAGCGTGTACATGCTGCTCAACGTACTTTCTACGCTAGACTATACTAAAACTACTGTCCCAATGCTGTTCGGACAGTAAGGGACATATGCAAAATTCCTCCCTTTCACTGTGTTGCCAATTTGTATAAGAATATATCTGTGCCTCGTTATAACTGTCCGCGGAAAAATTTTGTATATGAACTCATAGCAGCAATATCTTTCATAACGCATGAGCAAAATTAAACCTGAGCATAAGGATACACGAGCGTTAAAACGGACATACGTTTCACAGTAATTTCGCACGTACGTAGAAGTCACAGCATACGAGCGTTGCCTGTTTTGCAGAGTTGGCGGAATTACTCGCGTACTATCAGAGCGTTGGCACGCAGATGGTCGAAGCGATAAAATTCCATTTCTCAAAAATAGCGATTGTTCTTGACTGTGGCGTAAACCATGCCTAACAGAACCTTCGGGACCTTGTGTTGCAAAACTCAAAAAATATTTCTTTTTAATCTGAACCGACATCGAAGTGCGTCAAAAACTGTAAATAATTTGATTTATACAAACAACAAAGGAACTTTTTTGCAATAACAAATGATTTATAATAAACAAATCTAAAAATCTTTGCACAAAATAGAAAAGTTTTCATTCCGATCCAACTATTCGCTATAGAATAATCGCTGGACATACATAAAAAATACGTACTCGTCGAACTGATAACGAATAACTAACGATACGTTCGTGTGACCTGCTCTATTTAAGGTTATATAATACAATACAGAACATGCCTCATCTGAATCCAATGCCCGTACATACTAACATAAATACATCAGTGAAAAGGTAACGGACGCTGCCAGTGACGAACGTTTCTGGTACATGTGTGAGTTTTAATCTATTATACGGCAATATATTTTCCACAACATACGTTGTTTCAACGCTCGTATGCTTCAACGCATTAATATGATAAAAATCTTATCTGTAACATGCATCTTTTTTATTAATTCACTTGGTATCATACGAATAAATAGATAACATTTCACGATACATCAGTGATTTACATTAATATTACATAAAACATATTTATATATGCATAAATATCAATTTTATATTCTACAAGCCTAGGAAAATTAATAAAATTAATAACAGGAACACAAATGGCAAACATAATCAGTATACTAAATATTAACATACTAATGAAAACATACATTTGTAATTCAATATTCCTATTTTTATAAAATGAAATATGTAAATGAAATTTAATTGCAAAAGTAATGGCATTCGTATAAACTTATTATTCTACAACGGGGCAATCATATATTATATTGATAATAATAATAAGCAACAAGGTTGCATCGATCATAGACTTTCTGCATCACTTTAGTATTTTTAATCCACGTATTATTATTGAGCCATAATATATAAACCACAGACCCAAGAGATCATAGCGCGTTGGCCAAAGTAATCTTACAATTGAGAGATACATTATATAAAATTTTATGTACCATGATGGGAAATTCTTTCTAATTCGACAATTAAATTTCATCTCTATTACAAATCACAAGTTTGCGTCACAACAGCCAAAGAAGCAAATCTTACTTCGTCATATTGAAATAGTTACAGAAAGTGGTACATAAACATTAGCTTAATATGTTATATTAACCAAGATTTATAGAAACAAAATATATTATTCAGTACGGTCAAAGTTCTCTTATCGAATGACGTTTCAAAAGGTACTTACATCTGTTTTGCTGCCCAAGTTTATATCCATGAAGATCGCATCAACAGGGCGTGCGTAAACTAACACTCGAGCCATTTGCTTTATGAAATTATTATTATTATTAGACAAACTGCTTACCTGTGCACAAAGAAAATCTATGATTAGTGAGTACTAGACTTTAATAATATCCTCAAAGAACAATTCACGTTTTCCTTAAAATATGTCATAATTGCACAATAACAGTAGCAACTTGTAAATGAATATAGAAATTGTATGAAATACAATCATCAAATATATATTTAACAAAACTGTAATTATTTGATAAAAAGTCGTAAAATCAATGAGAAGCAGAAGACAATGGAAAATATTTCAGGTTAACGTGTCATGCATGATCTTAAAAGTTGTTTACACTCTCATTATTCACTTGTATTCAGAACATGTTTTCCTTTGTTAATAGTTCGCGTCAAAATAGAATGTAAATTTTTTTTATGCATATATAAACATGCACAAAGAGAGAAAATACCGTTCAAACTCGGACACCACCATAAGCAACACTATGGACATCAAAATGGCATCATCCACTAGTAACAAACATTTCGCTCAGTTCAGACAGGTTCGGATCATTGTCGGTAAGGAAGTAACCTTGAAAATATATTTATGGATGGAAAGTGTACAATAAAGAATCCTATATTATTTATAATACATCATTCTTCAACAGTTTACTATTAGTTTTATCTAATTTTACCTAATCCATTTTATAAATTACATTTTAATTACGAAACAATATCATATGGTACGTTTACACGTAACGGTAAATCAAAAATTGATTCGTAAAGCTACAGCGCATGCGTGTTATTAAGTAAATTTTCTGACTAACTTCACGTTATGTCCAATACAATTTTCTTGTTCACGTTTCTATATAAACTCACGTTATATACGTATGTATATCTGTGCATCTAAGAACCTACACCAACACACGTCAATGAATATCTGATTATTCCTGCATCATAAGCATTGTAAGCATCGCATTCGTATACACAGGTTTGGAAACTCCAGTAGAGGGGGTAATGCTCTTAATATTCGGAAGTCTGTTTTACAAATCGGCCGTTAGTCATAGCGCTGGCATCGTTTTGTTAACACTCCTGTCTGCCTTATCATTGAAGGTAAAGAATATAAACTGAACTGCTTTTCATAATTTTCATCAATATACTTAAAGTAAATATACACTATTTTATGTGATACAGAAGAATGTTGTTTAAATAAATGTAATTTTACATAATACAATAAGGTTTAGCTATAAACACGATCGTGCTGCTGACACAAGAAGCGCTGCACGACGATGTCTAACAAATCGATTGAAGTGCCTTACTTGAGAAATATTTTCTGGCCCGTAAGAGTCTTACCCACTCTAATGGAATTCTTAAATTTGTGTATACGAACATGGCAAATATGTGCATACATGTACATAACATGCGCGCTCACACGCACACGTATTTATTGTTGGCTCTGTCAAAGGCTTATGAAATACCACTGGTTGTTAAAATATCTGTCAAAATATCTGCTTTATACTCTAGCGTTAAGGATGAGAATCGTATTGCTCAGGAAATTAAAATGTTATTAAAGAAATGATTATCTGAATCCGATGGACCGTCAATTTTTGCGGTCGGTAAATTACCGGCAACATATTTATATGTAATATCATCTGAGATGCAATGCCACAGACGGAACGAAGTACAGAATAAACATTTATATCAGTATACATAGACGGGACGTAGAATAAACACGTTTGTCGCACGTCTCGAGGCTTTAAGACTCTTTACCATTTTAGTATTATTCCAAATGTTACCGACTCAGCGTCTCGATAATATTTTCTCTTCTCCTCGGCACAATTATCCAGTCCAGCACATTGCTAAATATATAGGTATCTCCTTACCATGCCACATCTTGGGTACCCAAGCTTTTGTGTCAATCGAAGGTCAGCCGGCGTTCTCAGAGTCTTGTCCCAATAGTAATAAAAATAGAGGGAAATATGGGACTCTTTAAGAGGCGGTGCTCTATCTTTAAATCCATCTCAATTTCTGTCGTGAAGTACTGCAGTTCCAAAGAAGTACTGCCCAAAAATTATCCTGGTAACCAAATGATTATTACCTAGCAAAGCTACAAAGGGATGGATTGGAACACACAACAATACTCTATTGAAAGTGCAACAGGTTTTCTGTGCTAAGGAAAACCAAAACTGGCGTTTTCTCGATAATGTCTAGACTAACAATAGAGGGTTTTTTTTTTCGATTTGAACTTGAACATCTGATGACGAAGATGAGGACCTGCTGAACTATGCGTCTCATTTAAAAGATAGACCGGTAGGGAGTACCACGTAAAATCTAGACTGGATGGAGAAAAGGCGGCTCTGAATCGGCGTTTCATCAAATACTTAAAATAATAACTCAAAACAGCCTTGTTACATTTGGAATTCTTCAGAACATGGTAATGGCAGTGAAATCTGAGCTGATGTAGGGTTGTCGTGGCAGTCTAGCGCGGCTTACCTCGCACAACCACATAAATAAATTAGCGAAGGTGGGGATTTACAGTATCTAACTAGGCTTTTTCTGCTAGATGAGATAACAGGCAGTAGCCCTTATGTCACGACGTACCACGACGTTCCACTACATCCCACGGCATCCTACGACGTTCCGCAACGTCCCACGGTGCCCCCGTAGGGGGTTATTAGTCCAATCTAGTTCATCCAACAGTTTTGAATAATCTAGACTAGACTAAACTATTAAAGTAGTTTTTAGCTTGATATATCCCGGAATTATTAATATATGTTATTTATCAATAGCAATCTAATCCTAATATTAAAATTACCGTTACACTTTCAGGATAGTACTTCATGTATCATTATTTGGGAAACGATAGCAATTACCTGGCCCCATCACGGGGAGGTAACTACGCTCGGATTCTATTTACGTAAAGAGCTCTTAAGCATCGGAAGCAGAAGATGTAAAATTATTTGATAGCAAAGAAGTAGCGTGTATTGAAATTTATTAATTCGGATAGGTATAGTATGTGGATCCATATAATCATATTTGAACATTGAACTTACCATCGAAGAAACCAAACCATGCGATTTACCAATTGTAGCTCTCATGAATGGGTGATGAGGTCTCGTTGCCATCGATTAAATTGCATTTGCTTCTTCAATTCCATGAACGCGGTTTGATTCTTTGGTTTTGAGCGAGCACGAAGAATTACATTTCATCCATAGACACTCTACAGTTACACTTTGCATTGGCGCTGATTTTATGTGAAACAGTTAAGTGAAAAATTAAGTACTATGTTTAAAATTAAAAAATAAAATTAAATGGAAACAAAATATCATTTCAAAGACTCGAAATCATATCATTTCATTAATACTAAGTAATTCAAAATAAATCGTTAATTTAATCGCTATGAGTTGGTGGTATTAATTTAAATGAATAGTAGAATTGCTTCCGATTAATGGTATGACTATTATAAATTAAGAGCATAATTATTTTAAATTAATGGGAGGATATTGTTATAAATTATTGGTATAATTGTTAAAAATTAATGGAGTAATTATTTCAGATTAATAATATATTGTTATTAATTAATAGTTCAACTGTGAGGAATTAATAGATCAAGCGTTGCAAATTAATGGCTTAAATGTTGTAAATTATTAGTTTAATTGTTACAAATTATTAGTTAAATTATTAATATGTTCTATTATGATCTGCACGATACGGCAGGTCGAGGGAAAATGAGCTCTCGCGCTAGTTGGAGTTTCTTATACACCTCGTACAAGTCGCAGAGAAGAAGATTCAGAAACGTAAACGATTCCGCCCGACGTTGTGCAAAGAAATGTTTGGTTGAATATTAAACCCACTCGTTACTCATGGAAATCCACAAGAGCACATCGGAAACTGCACTATGAAATTTACGAGTGGAGAGAATTAATGTTTCCTCTGAACCGTTGCCTCCACAATTCATAAATAAAAAAGCGTATGTTCAATAATGTTCATAAAAGGCTTGCACCACGCATCGTGATTGTCCCTACCACGAGTGTCCACAAAAAATACAACGAGTTACGACACATGTTCGATATGTCCTCCGTTTTGTTGTAAACAGAGCCTGACGCTTCTCTTAAAATTTTGCCATATTGAGTGTTACGTCCGACGATTCTTTTCTTAAACCAGGCCCACGCCGCAGGCAAGATGGCAACCCGATGATGCCCACATACTTGTGACGGCACTCGACAGAAAATACCACCGCTCGACATTAACTACCGTCGAACGACGGCAGCGCAGTGGTTAGCGCCTTAGGTTACGAACGTTTGGGACCCGAGTGTTCAAGTCCCGGCGATCGTAGTCCGATTTTTCTTCC